GTGGAATGAATATAATTTTAAAAAGATAAAAATTCTGGAGAAAAAAAAACAAAATTTAAATTTTATTTGAAAATGTAACTGATGAGAAAATTAAGGATGCTTGCCTTTTTTTGAAATATTCCCCCCTTAATTTTCTCTTATTAAATAATTATATTCTTTAAATAAAAATAAATAATAAAAACATACATAACAAACTAAAATGACATTTTTACTAAATATTGAAGTTGTTGCTAATGAGTTTTCTTAAATGCTAAAATATTGACATTTTGAAAAATTTCCCTATAATTAATGCTCTTTATAAATGTTCCTAAAACTTATGTGAGCGCGCACCCCTAAATATAAATATTTTGGTATTAAATATAAATAAGGATTAATCATGAAAATTCCATTTTTTAATTTACTTATTGTCATTATCCCCTATAAGTTTTACAAATTTTCAAAATCTCTCATTTGCACATCACGTTACTGTATTTCGCGCATCACGTTAATGTATCTTGCGCATAACATTAATGTATCTCGCACATCATATTAGTGTATCATGTATAAATATACCTCGCGCATCAGATTAGTATATCTCACATATCAGATTAGTGTATCTCGCTCATCAAATTAATGTATCTCACGTATCATATTAGTGTATCATGCGTAAAGTGTACCTCGCACATCATATTAATGTATCTCGTGCATCAGATTAATATATTGCGCATCAAATTCTACCTTAAAAGTATGTGATTTCTGTAATTTGCCTAATAATATTTTCTAATTATGTGCCAAATATAAAAGAAAAAATAAGTTACATTTTCGGGCAAAGAGAAGAAGAAAATATTCAAGGATGTATTTTAATTTGCTTCGACCGACGATATCTTTTCTTCCTACTTTAGATACTATTTTACCACCCCTAACATAGTTCTTATATTTATTCAAACATTTTATCCTCGGGATAATTTTTTAAAAAGTTAAATTGGAGCTATATAAATAAGTTGTAAAGTTAGCTAATTAAGACTTATTCGAGTCCATGGACTATGGAGCTTAACGACCTAACAAGAGGGCTACCTTTTGCGTTAATTTAAAAGTTAATACCCAAAAATTCTTATTGATAAAGTAATTAATTACTCTAAAAAGGAATATTTATCTCATTTTAATTGGTTTTATTCATCTCATAAATAGTCATGTTCTGCACTTACTTTTTAGTGTGACTCAACCATAGATAATTTAATGCAAATATTATTTAGTACTGTCAACAAATAATATATCATCTTGTGTTTGAGATTATTTCATATCTTGTATGATTCTCCCCGTCCTCAAACCAAATCATTTGTTAGGTATTTTGCGTAATGGAGCTCATGTATTCTAACTCACATGATCTCCTTTTATATATGTATATATATGTTAGTTCAACAAACAGAATTATTGGAACAAAAAAAGTAGTCTAGTACTAATACTTACTATAACACAATAATGACTTATTCGGACGAAAATAGCCTCAATAAAAGTAAAAGCAATGTCAATTTCAAATCCATATTCAGTCAGACTCGCCGCAAACTGTCGTTCCGAAGGAAGAAGTTACCGGTAGAAGCTGGAGGGAAGAAGCAGCGGCGGAAATTCTCTCCGGTGAAGATTTCCCGGCGAGAGGGATTGAAGGGGCAGAAATTTGAGTACTTAGGTATGAAAAAAATAAAAGAATGTTATTGGTTGGCAGTAAACAATATATTGGAAGGAAATGATGCATTGGAGCAACGACTTGTAGTAGATACCTCTTTTGCTATTCCAATGATGGCTCTTACTTTCACTAATCATCGTGCTATTTCAAATCTAGTCTGAAAAATCTAAGACTTTATTGTTTATTTGTTATTTATGATTTTTTTTTTATATTCAGTAAGATGTTTTTCTTTTATTTGGTTAAAATATTAATTATAATATCATTATTTATTTACTTTTGTAGTGCCACTTGATGAATTATGTGCACTCTTTATGAGATCATACATGCAAATACTTGAACTATATAGTTTTTTTCTTTTTATTTATTGGGGAACTACCAACATCAACAGAGACGAATGGTCAAAGATGTATAGTAGTTTCAAAAGTTAAAACTAACCTCAAATCATATTTTAACCAAGCTGCGTCAAGTGTCACGTTAGAGAGATTTTATGAGCCAAATATGGGTGGCGATCAGATTCGATAATGTGGGATTGGTGAGATTCGATCTCAAGACTTTTGTCTGCTCTGATACCATGTTGAAGTGTGTGATCATCTCATTTAAAAGCTTAAGCGTTATAGAGATCACACTTTTATTATTTAATTATATCCTTAATAAGAAGTTGTATGACATGTTTTTTTTTTTCATTACTAGCTTGGGTATCACGTGAGGCTCATAAACTTCTTCATTTTTAGTATTTTAATTCAAAAATATATGATCATATATATTGAGTTTTCAATTCAAACCAACTATGTATAACGTTGATTGATACTTCATATGTATATGATGATCATATATGATCTTAGACAATCTTCATTTTATTAGAGATATTTTGAATTCGACCTAATATTAGTTTATTTCTTATCATAATATCAATCTATTAGCTAGAGTAAGACTCCTTCCTATTATTAGTTTATTCGATGTTAGACTCCTAAATTAAATTATTAGCAATTCAATTAGCAGCTCTAGGCGTGCAAGGTGTTAAGTTTCTACATCAACAATATAGTAGAGGAATGTAATGATTTCTTTATATTTATTCTCACCTTATGAGTTAATTTTTAATGCTGATTTAAATATAATATTATTAATTAAATTTTAATTTTAACCAAATAATGAGAAAATTATTATGATAAAAAAAATTCCATGTAACCTTAAGCAAACAAGCTTTACTTACATTATTCAACCTGTAGTTTGTAACTCTCTGTGGAAATATACAGATGTCATAGTACTTTTAAGTTTTAGCATGAAAAATAATTCTTCAACTGAAATTCAATTTGTAAATTTTTAAAGATAAATTTGAAAGACAATGCTTTTGGGCCGATAATTTAGGTGATATTTTAAGAACATGTTTTCCGAAGTTAGTTTATAAAATTTAATAAATAAAATTATTTTAATTAGATTATCTTTGATTCTTGGTATTGGTCCTTTTCAAGTAAGGAATAACATTATCCGAAAAAATCTACTTGTTTAATTAAAAATGAATTCTTCGTTGTACCGATTCTTTTTAAATTTAGGGATATTTTTTGATACGGAGGATAACTATTATTTTAATCAGGAGAATATAAATAAATTATGAGGAAAATACATAATCATTGCCAAATTATTTTTCATTTTCTGTGACAACTTGACCAAGTGTGTTGAGTTTCTTGTTAAGATTCATAAATAATTTGAGTGTAAAAATGTGATTCAAACAGTATATTTGGATAAAATATGTATTTTGTAACCCTTATGTAATAATACAACCCCTATATTTATTTTTTCTTGGATAAGCGGAATGTTTGTTCAAAGTAGATGGGAAGAAGGACCTTAGGGATTATTTGGCTTAGAAAAAATTATGAGTAGATTAATAATATTGAAATTGTTTATACATAGTATAATATTATCATTGATTATTGTAATTGACAGTTAATACCTAAAACCATAAACTAATTAATATACTACTCTAAAAGGGAATATTTATCTCTAGCTTATTACTTTATTATATATTTCATTTTAATTGGTCTTCTTCACCTCACCAAATCAATTTTCATGTTCTCCACTTGTGACTCTATCATCCGATCCGATGTATACTAAAGACTTTTATGAAGTGATAAATATATAGATTATTCCATGTTGTATTATATATATAATTTAATATTAACTTGTGTTGAGATTATATATTAATATATGTCAATCAAATAATATTCATATCTTGTAGGAGATAATTATAAATGTAAATATTATTAATGGAGCTCATGTATTCAACTCATATGATCTCCTTATATAAATACGTTAGTTCGACAAACATAATTATTGGAACAAAAAGTAGTAGCAATACTTATAACAGAATAATGGCTAATTTGGATCAAAATAGCGTGAAGAAAAGTAATTCCACATCCATACTCAGTCAGGCCCGCCGGAAAATGTCATTCAGACGGAAGAAGTTACCGGTAGAAGGTGGAAGGAAGAAGCAGCGGCGGAAATTCTCTCCGATGAAGATTTTCCGACTAGATGGTTTGAAGGGACATAAGTTAGGGATGAATAAAATAAAAGAATTTTACTGGTCAGCGGTAAATGACATATTGGAACGAAAAGGAGAAGATGCATTCCAGCGACAGCTTGCAACGGAGACCTCTTTTGCTATTCCCATGATGGGCTTTTCCTTCGCTTTGCTTTCACCAAATCCTCGTGCTATTTGAAACTTTATTAATTAACTAATGGTCTCTCTTTCATTTGCTTTAACAAAAATATGAATTACTTCTTCTCTTTAATCAAATCATATATATATATATATACTTAGAGCCGTTAATATGGACTAGACTTGTTGGGTCGGCCTGACCTAACCTAACCCACGATTTAATAGGGTTCGACTACGATTTTTGAAGCCCATTTGAGAAAAAAAGACTTTTTAGCTCGGCCTAAATAAGCCTGCTGATTTGTGAGGCTTGAGAAATATCGATAGGGTCGACAGTGGGGCCATAAAAGTTAATTAAAAAATATAATATTATATTAAATTTTAAAATTAAAGAGACTCCAAACTCCAAACAATTAGGTTAATATTTCTATTTTGATATTTATACTTTTACTTGAAAAATATTTAATAAATATTACAAAGATAATTTTATTTATTGATTTGATTAAAAAGTAGTAACATTAACATTATTTTGTCGATATTTATGATAATATTTTTAAATTATAATTTATAATTTAACTAATATAATTTTTTAAAAAGTGATCTGGCCCGCAAGCCTGTACCCACGTACTTGTGGGTTGGATCAGCCGTTTTCCGGCCTACACAAAATATGGACTAGTCCAGCCTAATCCGTAAAATATCGAAGTCTGAATAGATTAGCTCGAATTGGATGGGCTAGCCCATATTGACAGCTCTATATATAGTTGAACTAATTTTTTCTTTCTTTTATTTATTGGGTATTTATTCAATTCAAGCACTACCAAAATCATCGAGAGTCAAAGAGCTACCTTCTTGGTATGAGATAGTTGAAAAAATAAAAACTGAACTTCAAATAATATTTTAACCAAGCCACGTCATTACGTTGTATTTTCATCAATTTGAGTATTCAGTGTTCCGATTAGTTTGTATTTACAGCAAGCAAGGCTATAAAGAGCTATGAAGCCTTGCTTCTCAGGAACTTTATTATTTTTTAAAAGATCTCTGATTATATATATATATATATATATATATATATTGTAATTCTAATCATATATCAACAATAGTAAATAATTGATTG